CTTCCTTCCACCATCCAGATCCCCCGTTTCCTCGCTGTCTCGCGTCGCCGCTACCACCTCCCTCCGGCGGAGCTCGTTGCCGTTCCCCATGCCCTCCTCCTCTCGCCCCTCCCCTTCCCACTCCCCACAGCGACGGTCGGCGGCCTCACCGCGGCGCAAAATCCCCCACCACCATGAAGTCAGCGAGGATGTTCCCGTGACGGCCGTTGGTGTCCCCGCCGCTGCCACGGGCCCTCGCTGCCGAGCCGCCCGTCTCTATGCGGCGGCTGCGCGTGGTGCGGTGCATGGCCAAGGAGCGACGGGTGCGGATGGTGGCGAAGCAGATCCAGCGGGAGCTGGCGAACATGCTGACCCGCGACCCCGTCATGCAGCGCGCTGTCCTCCCCGAGGCCGCCCTCGGCGCCGACCGCTACCTCTCCTCCCCCACCACCATTGCCGACGTCGAGCTCTCCAACGACCTCCAGGTCACGCCCGGACTCTCCCTCGAAACGATGCGGCTGCGCTGCAATCTGGGATGCCGAGTTCCTTGTCTCTGCTCCGATTTGTGTCTGCAGGTGTGCAAGGTGTATGTGTCCATGTTCGGGGAAGAAGGTGGCCATGGCCGGGCTCAAGGACAAGACCATGTACCTCCAGGTCACGCCCGAGCTCTCCAACGACCTCCAGGTCACGTCTGCTTACTTCCCATTTTGTTTATATATCATTATGCTAGTTTCTGTCTTGTTTAATTGGTTAATTGTTCATGCTTGAAGTTAATTAGCTGGAGTAGTTGGTTAGTTACACACTAGTTGGTGCATGCTAGCTCAAGTGTATACATGCATGGATGTATGTGTTTTGTAGTTGAAGGAGTTCATTCTGTGCAGCCGGAGGCGTACAAGTTCAAGATCGGCGACCGGGTTTTTCGGAGGCCCGGAGACCCACCCCTGGACCAAGTTATCGAGATTCTACAGAAGCACAAGGATAAGTCTCAAGATGAAATCTAGCTAGCTGGCTACAGTATGCCTTATGCTCTCGTTGATTTATTTCTTTTGCGCTCTTTTGCAGTTCTATATTGATGAGTGAGCGATCTGGTAGCAGCTAGCTAACTGCCTCTAGATTGTAACCCTGTTATGGGATGTGTGGTTGCGCATGCGTTCTACATTGTCAAATGTGTTCTCTGTTGTCACACATCGTATGCAATGTTGTTCATAGTTTTTATATTTGTTGTCATGCGATGCGGTCACTGAATTGCTCAAATTTGCTGGCCAAGTACTATGTAGTGTTGTTCTATGCTAGGCTACCAGGCTAGGTAACTTCTGTATCAAAATCATGGATTCTAACCTTTACTATTATCTGCCATGGATCAACAATGATGCATCACAGGTAGTAGTAGTAGAGTCGGACTTGGTGCTGCATTACCCAGTTATTAGCTCCTCGATTTGTTCCTCGCAGCGTGGGGTCAGCACTTTACCTCAACTTGTCTGCATTTTCTCTCACACACTAGACTTGCTCATCCATAACACAATGGCAGTGCGTGAGTGAGTCCTGTAGGTATGTATGTTTTTGGGCTGGTTGTAGATGGCTTTGTATGTTATGGTAGTGTGCTTGCTCTCCCTGCTCTGCTTTCGCTTGTAGAAAAGAAGAGCAGTGCAGGGTAAGTAAAACACACTAGCAACTCTCTAATTAGAACACCAGATGCTGTGCAACTCCCTACTAGTAGATACCAACCACATGTATCTATAGATTTACTACTAAATCCAATTACAGTACTACCCGATGTTGTGTGATTCCTTCCATTCTATGATTGATAAAGGAAGTACTTCATTAGTAATGAGACATGCTAATCTGGTGCTGAAATTTATAAGCAACTAAATTGTGCAGAATTAAGTTTCACATTCAAATCGATGGTATGTCATGTGTGCACCATGGACAGAAATTTCAGAGCCAACAGAAAGAAATTCTACTCTTTACTGCAGAACAGTATGCAACATTACTTTGTTGGTTGCCTGCTAATTGTGTGCAAACTGCTTATCAATAGCTTATCAAGCACTGCTTGACTGGCTCGCATCGCTCTGCTGTCGTAGTTGTGCCGTCAGTGCTCTTTCCTCTTTGTCTGTCTACGACAGCAGGATTCATGCACCAAACCAATAACCTGAATCTTTTGTTAGGCTGCTAGTAAACTAGGTTGTACTCCTTCCAATTGCAAGTTGGATAGAACCTGCAATTAAGTGCACAGACATACATGGATTCTGGTTCAATTCGTATGTATGTCTGTATGTGCATGCTTACGACTTTGACTAAAACTGCTAGTTAATTCATTGTTCTACCTTGAAGGTGACCAGTCCCTAGCCGCGTGCTTTGGTCGGTCCTGCTAATTTCAGTTCCTATGATTTTTAATCTCCGTTTTCTATTTTCCCCAGCTACCAAGACTCTGAGTTTGTGGTGATGGCAGCTGACACGAAGCCGATCGAAATCTTCCCCCACCCCCTGTTGCTCCCTAATAATAACAAGGTAGAAATTCTGTCCGTATGCTGCATCATATATAGTACTGCTAATTAGTTTGTATGCCGTTGCTTGCGTGATATGGTTAGACCGACGACTGTCAAGCTCATAATTCTATATGATGTGTCAAAGGTTAACATAATATATGATATGACTTGTGTGCTGACCTCTAGTATCTTGCTTATCTGTAGTGTGTTTGTTGTACGCTTGCCTTTCTTTGGCCTGCTATTATTATTTATCAAATGAAAGGACATTCTGTTTGGCAGTGGGCGGTTTTGCTCGAAAATAAGTAAATAAATTGTATGTGCATGCTGAAATGTTAGATGTCTGTTGGTTGCTGTATATGGGCAAGATGAATTGAATCTTGATGTGTACTTGTCAATTCTAGCTTATATTGGTGTCTTGTGATCCTAAAAATTATTGAATCCTGCTATGTACTTGTCAATCCTGCTGTGTGTTCATATTGCGTCTCTGTTTTCTTATATGAACGAGTTATCTCATTTTAACTAGCTGGAGAACAAAAAGCATGGTACTAGCTCAATTTTTGTTATCATTCTAAATAAGTTTCCTTTTCTTGAATGGTCTGTTCTGATTCTTCACTTTTCTGATTCTTCCCTGCTGATTCATGTAACAGGGCGACCGAGGAAGGCATGCTGTCTGTTTTCTTGAAGGTCGTTTTGTTTGTTCCCAGCCCTAACTACAGTTGTCCAGCTAGTTCGGCATGTTGTTCATATCACTATTGTAGTCCAACGAGTTTGGCATGTTGTGAGTTTGTGATTGCTTGTAAAGCTTGTAAAGTATTGTATTACACTTGTAGTCATTACTGTGATTGCCACTGTATTACACTTGTAAGGATCTGGTTGCTCTTATTTCAAGTATTATGTGTGCTTTTTGTCCACCCATTTAAATACTGGTTCGAATATGAAGAATATGAGCCTGATAGATGGGACCCACTTACCAGAACATGACAAATGGGACCCAGTTACCAGAACTTGACAACCGGGACCCATCTGACTAGTGGACCCTTCTTTTGGAAAAAAAAAGAAAAACTAAATTCGTTTAGACAAAAAGGCCACAACCCAACAATAAAAAAAGTTGCAATGTTGGGCTTGGCCCATGAAGCCGATCAAAAATTGATAGAACAAATATATAAAAAGGCTGAATTGTTGGGCTAGGCCCATGTAGAAAATCGAATTGGACCGGGCTGAATCTTGTGCCACATCAGATTGCCACGCTGGATGCCTACGTGGCTTGAGGAGGTTGCTAGTGACCAAAACGCCACAGTAGACGTATTTTGGTCATAAACGTCTACGACCATTCCAGAAGAAAGGTCGCTATAGTCAGTTTATGATGGCCAGCTTTTGACCTTGTGTTTTTGGTCACAAAAAGGTCAAAAATTAAAAACAGCGACCATTCAGTGACCAATAGTGCTGGTCACAAGTTGACATATTTCTTGTAGTGATTCTTCAAACAAATCTCGATGAAAAACTTGCTTTCGGCTACTGCCAAGGCTGGCGGTGGCGGCGTTGTCTGTGTCATTTCCTTCTTGAAGGCATCGTCGTCGAGAAGTTCAAGGCCACTCTCTGCTACCACCGGAGCAAACCCTAGACCAGTAGATCGGATGACAGCGGCGCTCTGGTGTCATTTCCCCCTTGGGGGCGTCATTCATGGAGGTACACACGGCCTCGAGGGAACAAAGGACGGCTTCTTTGGTGGAGCAGTGCTTCATCTTACACATTAATGGCGGCGGATCTCGTTAGCGTAGCGCTGTGGATACTCGGAGTCCGATGCGCGGAGATGGACTGACGCGGGAGGATGTTGTCTGGGGTCATGGTGGCGTCGATCGCAGAGAGTCCTGGCAAGGTCGGTGCATTAGTTTCTGCTCTGAAGATTGATTGGTGGAAGATGGCGGCGACGACACAGAGAGTGTGTCGGACCAGTTTGTGCCCCAAACCCAGTATGTGGCTTGGTTGGGGCCTCTGTCTTTAGATGTTAGGCATTTGTGCGATGTCTGTTTGGTATTAGGCTCGGACTATCGTCACCCCTTCATCAGGTGAATAGAAGTAGCGACAGTTGTTGTTAAGATGGTGACTTCAGACTACATAATGTACTACTTTGTAAGATCTTTATGAATAACTAATAAAATGGCTACATGCATCATCCAGGTGCAGAGGCCAGGGATAATCCTTCTTTTCTAAAAAGAGAACTACTTGTACATGCCGCAAGTAGTTTGAACCCACACAGGCAGACCAGTAAATGTGGGATGCAAATGATATTAGTGGTGACCATTTCTGACCGCACGCTGCTAGTTCATATAGTAGATGCTAGTGTCGAGCCTTTGTATTGAATCGCTGCTGATAGTTCTTGGCATAAGAGCCCCCTTTGTGTATCTTAGCAGCAACGTGTAATTTTTTGGAACACTGCTAGTACTATGACAACAGTAGCGTGCTTTTTTAGCTAAACACTGCTTATATTTTGCCAAGTTTGCAATGGCGTGTCATTTTTGCTAGACGTTGCTATTACCAAAATCCTATGAAGGGTTTCTGCACTAGTGGCTGACATTAAGGTAGGAGAGGAGGTCTCAACCTTTGGCTCGTGGGATTCGTTGGCGGGGCACACGCTATTTAGAAGACACATAGTCACAGTCGAGTGTGCCGTTGATGAAGCCGACGTCACTACTACAGGGCCGCGCTTGGGGTTGTCATGGCTGGTGAGGTCCGGGGCCGGGCGACACACACCACCCACTTCCATTCAGAATTGCTCGTGCTTGCCATAAGGATGTCGTGCAGCGCCTTCATCCTTGGGTACTCTTCAATCATGGCTCGCATCAAAGTCATGGTGATTGTGGGAGAAAAAAATTGGGCCTCCTCTGATTTGTTGGAATTTTGTAGGAACTCTATAGGATAGGATTTGCAAAGGAAAAAATCCTTTGAAACTCTTTGGTTTATAGGAATGGATTCCTATTCCTATGTAGGATAGGAATCGATCCTTCATATTTTGGAAGAAAAAATACATTAGCCTAGACTCAGTGGAAAAATTCTTATCCTATGCACCAAATAATTTCTCTTTCTCTATAGGAATTGAGATGCATGTCATCTCATTTCCTATGATTTTCCTATCCTACGAACCAAAGGAGGCGAAGGAAAGTCATAGGAATAAGAAAGTCACGGGAAATGAGATGACATGTATCTGAAATCCTATGAATAGGAATAGAAAAGAAAATGCCCTTTGGTTCATATCATAGGATTTTTTCTATTGAGTCTAGACTAATGTACATTTGAACATATC